AGAGTGAACCTCTGAACGAGAGACGATTCAAGTCCTTTAACCGAGCAATCGATTGTCGGTAGTTGTGTTAGAACCGAAAGCAATTATCCCTGATTCCCTAGCTCTTCAATCATTGAGTTAATTCGTCTTGCTATTTAAACTGTTTTTCATTAGTTTTAAATTCTTAGTTGATAATTAAACCCCAAATTATTGATTAGAGTGTTTTAGGATTTATTTTTCTTTATTGTGTTATCAACACCATTCCTAGATTCCGAACCGCCTTCCTTGAGAGATCGACCCGGGGAACGAATCTTTCGATTCGATACTCGGTAAAAAAATAATTTGCTACAACACACATCGGCACTGCTTCTTCAACCGGTTTAGTCGATTTGATTGATCTTACAATGGAAAATCATGAAAATGTGCCTCCGAGAACGCTGGTTAACAATGTCCACAATGGTATTTTTATAAACTATCAATTATTATTTTATTTTTTTTATATATAAATAATTTTATATTTACTTCTATACAATAAAATACATCATCTTTTATTATTAAATTTGTTCAATTAATTTAAAATTTTGCAGTTTCGTCGGTAAACTTGCCACCTCGAAAGAATGTAGGCGGTCGTCCGAGGCTCTCATTAACTCCCCTAACAAATGGTAAATTAATTTAATTATCAGATTTATGATTTATATTTTATGACTATTAAAAAAGTATATATTATTTAATGAAATAATTAATGATATAATTTCTATTAATATAATAATTTTTTTTTTTTCACGTAGTGTCAGCATCAAATTTGCCACCTCGGATCAACGTGGGCGGTCGTCCGAGGCTCGCATTAACTCCCCTAACAAATGGTAAATTATTTTAATTATCAGATTTATAATTTATATTACTTTGAAAAAAAAGTATATGTTATTTAATCAAATAAATAAAGATATAATTTCTATTAATATAATATTTTCTTTTTTTTTCACGTAGTGTCATCGTCAGATTTGCCACCTCGGATCAACGTAGGCGGTCGTCCGAGACGCGAAATACCACCCCCCACAAATGGTAAATTAATTTAATTATCAGATTTATAATTTATATTTTATGACTTTGAAAAAAAGTATATATTAATGTATCAAATAAATAATGATATAATTGCTAGCTAATATAATAATTTCTTTTTTTTTCACGTAGTGTTATCGTCAAATTTGCCACCTCGGATCAACGTAGGCGGTCGTCCGAAGCGCGAATTACCACCCCCCACAAATGGTATTTCTAATTGCTTATCAAATTTTCTAATTTATTAGTTAACTGAAAAAAAGTTTCTCATTTACATTTTATATTTACTTTGGTTGTTTATAATAACAATCAATTGTTTTGCAGTTTCGTCATTAAACTTGCCACCTCGGACGAATGTAGGCGGACGTCCGAAGAACTCAGTCCCTCCACCCATATATGAGGATGTTTTGTCTGCTTTTGTCCGTAGTCAAAATATTTCTCGAATGCCCATTGATACGCGAGGCTCATCTACATCTGTTGGTTCTTCCAACTCATCCATCATCAACGGTAATTATTTACTTATGTTTACCAAGTTTTTTTATTTCATTTCCTCTTTTATTTTTCAAAAGTGCATCGCCAATACTTTGTATGATATATAGATAATTATTTTTAATTAATTGTTATATTCTTAATTATTATAATATAATTTTATAGAATACTGGGATATTGGCGACCCATCGTACCGTTGCCTTCACTGTGGTGCCAGAT